AGAATTGCTTGAACCTGGGAGGCGGAGATTGCAGTGAGTTGAGATCATGCCACTGCATTCCAGCCAGGTGACAGAGCGAGACTCTGTCTCAAAACAAAACAAAACAAAAACAAAAACAAAAAAAACAAATGAAGACTTCCCTTATAGATTAAATTTCCCTTACAAAAGGGTAATTTCTACTGTTTTCAGAGCTTCTCCTGTATCTGTAACTTCTCAAAATCATCAGCTCAAAATAGTCCTTATGCTAAGGAGGCATATTTCATGTTGGCATATGCTGGTCTCCTACAATAACTCGCCAAAGATCACAAAACTAATAAGTGAATTCAGGCAGTCTGGCTCCACGCCTGTGTCCTGCGTCATCTCACTGGAGATCTTTTACAGGACAAGGCAAGTCATGTGGTAACTTCTAATTAGAGGGATCAAGGAAGACTTCATGGAAGAGGCAGCATTTGAATTAAGCCCTAAAAGTAAAGTAAAAGAGCATTCCAAGTTGGGAGTGTAGATACAGAGATGCAAAAAGAAATATGTGGGGGTAAGCATTTGGCCTGGCACAAGAAGGTGGAAAATATTGAGGGGGAACTTGGACTCTCTGGTAAGTGTTGGCACACTATTGTGAAAGTATTGAGAAGTCAAAGATTTTTTTCTGAGCCCTTTTTTCTAGCCCTTTAATACAAAATAGCTAACACCTATGCCAGGCATGGTGGCTCAAGCCTGTAATCTCAGCACTTTGAGAGGCCAAGGCAGGAGCATTGCTTGAAGCCAGGAGTTCAAGACCACCCTTGCCAACATAATGAGACCCCCGTCTGTATATTAAAAAAAAAAAAATCAGGGCTGGGCATGGTGCTCATGCCTGTAATCCCAGCACTTTGGGAGGCCGAGGTGGGCGAATCATAAGGTCAGAAGTTCGAGACCAGCCTGCCCACTATGGTGATACCCTGTCTCTACTAAAAATACAAAAATTAGCTGGGCATGGTGGTGGGCGCCTGTAGTCCCAGCTACTCAGGAGGCCAAGGCAGGAGAATTGCTTGAACCTGGGAGGCAGAGGTTGCAGTGAGCCAAGATCGCACCACCGCACTCCAGCCTGGTGACAGAGTAAGAATCCGTCTAAGAAAAAAAAAAAGAAAAAAACTAACACCTAATATGGGGTGGTGGTAGAGGAGAAAAATTTCTGGTATCTATTCTAGAAGTGCAACTTCATTGAAAACACAAGACATAACACTCAAAAAAATGATAGACAAGTTTAAAAATGTGATACAAGAGATGTTTCAACTTTGTGCATGATTAGTTGTTTAACAAACCACATGGTTTTTGCAAATTTAAGGTTATATTAACTGTTTCTTTGGTTTGAATGGAGGGTTTGCAAGTAGAAGAAGAGTCTGGAAACGGCTTTGGGCAGTTGAGACAGGTTTTGGAAGGAAGCTGCTATGGTTTGAATGTGTCCCCCAAAACTCGTGTGTTGGAAACTTAATCCCCAATGCAACAGTGTTAGGAGGTGGGGCCTAATAAGGTGATTAGGTCATAAGTGCTCTGCTCTCGTGAGAGGATTAATGTCATTTTTGAGGGAGTGGGTTAGTTATCTCGAGAGTGGGCTGTTTTAAAAGTGAGTTTGGCTTCCTTTTGCTCACTTGTCTGGCTCTCTCTTGCTCTTTTGGCTTCTGCCATGGGATGACTCAGCAAGAAGGCCCTTGTCAGATGCTGACACTTTGATATTGAACTTCCCAGACTCCAGAACTGTGAGAAATAAACTGATTTTCTTCATAAATTTCCCAGTCTGTGGTATCATGTTATAGCAACACAAAACAGACTAAGACAGAGGCCATAAATAATGGACGGCAAGCCCTATTGCCAAATGTGGGAATAAAACGGTTAATGCTGAAACTGACTGCCCAAGAACCCTCTCTTTACCTTCATAACGCCCCAGGGAGAGGAGAATCCCAGTAATGAGTGACTGGAAATAACAAACTGGCTCTGACAGGAGCTTAGGTGTCCAGATATAGGCAGCTCCAGGCTGACTTTGTGGTTCCACAATCCAGAGTGAGAAAATTCCAAGGCTTCCTCCTAGACCACATCCTTAATGCATAAGAATTGCCAGAGAAAATTATCCAAGATATGGAAATGGGCAAAGGAGATTACTAGGTTTCCTTTCAATGGAATTGTTATTACTGCCTATTGGAATTTCTGGAATTTTTGGATTTTATAGGGTTGTACAATTTAACTGATTACTTATTGACTAGGTTATTTTATAATTTTGTAGGAACTGAAGTAAAATTGTAAAAAAAAATCTGATGGTAAGGCAAATTCTTATCCATAGCAATGCAAATAAATTTTGCCTGATAAAGATATTGATGTCTCCTCTGCAGAAGAAAGAACACCAAACATTACATTTTATTGCACTGTAGGATATTAACCAGTTTTGCATCTATCTGCAAAACCGTTTTGTCTTTTCTCTTTGCCTCTCTGTTCCTCAAATTCCCTTTGAAATA